GACCCACCCGGGAGAGGCGGTCGGTGGGCCCCCGGGAGCGGGACCGAACCCCTACAGACCTCGGTCATCTCTCTCCGCAGCCCGGCAGCGCCCGGAGCAAGACCAGGGTGCCGGGCAGCGCCCTGCCCGCAGCCGGGAGGAAGCAGACCCCCTCTGCAAGAAGGGGAAAACCCCTGCGTGTTACGCACATCGTCCTCCTAGGGTAGTGCAAAAATCTGCGAAATAGCAAAGAGCATTTGGGGAAGCGCACAAAGTTACTCAACAGTACGCAAGAGTCGGCTCTGGAGAAGGGGCATCGTGCAAAGCCTGGCAGTACCCGGGGTTGGCTCTGGCACTGCAACGCAGTTTAAAGGACAGACCACAGAAGAAGAAACAAATGCAAACCAAAAGTGCCCTGGCCCCCAGGATGCGTCTGGGTGAGAAAATAACGTTTATTCCCAGCAGGCAGGGGAAGGCATTTGTCAGATAATTGGTTTGTGCAACTGCTCCAGCAGAGAGCTGGGAGTTCCTTTTCCTCCTTATGGCAGGTGATGGCCAAACCTGCATGACAGGCCAGGGCAGACCAATGCCAGCTACTAGTGAAAACAGCTGGAGATATAAGCCTTAAAAACATCCTTTTTCTGGGACTGAGGAGTAATTTTTTTTTTTTTTTTTTAAGGTTAGAGCTAAAGGGTGTAATGTGCATTTATTTACACAACAGCAATAGCCATCCATCAATCCTGTATCATTAAGAACAGCTTCCAAAGAATTATAGTCTGTAGCATAGATGGGCTCTTCGGCAATGTCTTAGTCATATTATCAAAGCATTATCCAGATCCCATGACAAATTAAAGCCCCAGGTAAAGTACAGATGTACCAGACTTACAAAATGCTCCCCTTATGAAAAGGGCATCACAGAATGTACTATTGAATGTGTGGTTACAGAAACACATGAATGAAAAGATTAGACTACTATTTTAGATAGTACAGGACTGAGCATCTGTTTTGTATGTTAAAACAAAAAGGTATTACTTAAAACTGCAAAGAAACAAACTAATGCGGGACACACAAAAACCTCTTACCCTTAGAAGAGCCTACATTCTGTTTAGTAAGGACTGGCTGAAATAGGGTAGGAGCTCTTGAAGAACAGCATTAAGTCACCAACCAGCCAACCTGCTCTCCTTTGCCTCTACTGCAATTACAGCAGCCATACAGTAATATTGAAGTTAATCTTTCACCTCCCAGAACAATTAGCATTTGAAACTTAAACTTAACAGATTTAGCAAGCATTAATATTGAAAGCCCTGAGGAAAGGTGAAGACTTAACAAATAACAGCTGTTTGTGTATGCTAATAGTTAATTGCCCAGCTCCTATTACACAGCTATTGACCATCATAACTTTCCTCTTAGTAGGCTACTCAGCACAGAGGCTTAAAAATAGTTTCCGTGAAGTCCATGCATCCTTTACCCTAGCTGCAATAAGAGGATATTTATATTTGAACTGCCAAGGTCCTCCTCTTTCTTGAAGGAGTAAATAAAAAATTCCATCAAACCTGTTGTTCTAGCCCAATGAGTAGGATTGTCCTTAAAAAAAAAAAAGGCAGCTAACTGATAAAGCATGTACTGACAATACATGATTATTCCATGGCTGGTGAAGATCTTCCACTTTTACAGAACCGCCACCATCTTCCAAAAAAGTAAACATGCAACAGATACCTGTTTCTGTAATAGTGTGCTATATGTCAAAGCTTATTAACATCCTGCAACCAAAGAAAAGGGTGACTGCGGGATGTTGCCGATTTTGAAATAAGGGTGCACTTCTAAAACAGAGTTGAGCTTATTTTGTACATTACTCTTGTCCATTGGCTCCTTCTAGTGGCCTTCCCCGGGTGCTACAACTACCTACCTCCTTACCTAAACCCCCCTTACCTATTCAAAGTTCTCAAGGAACTTCATTTAGCCATGTGTCCAGACACCAAAACAGCAGACAAACTTGTCCAAACTCAGCAACAGCTTTCAGGAGGACATGCACAGAAAGATAGACCTCGGTCTTCTAAGCATTTCCCATGAAGTTTCTTTGCCTTCAACTTTTCAAGCTTCTTGTATGCCAGAGAAAAACTGTTTTGCAGAACATGGTGAGATCCTGTGGAGGACAAGTACAAGAAGTCCAGTGCAAGCAAATGGTGCAGGGAGAGTTGTTACTCATGGCAATTGCTGGCAGTGTTTTGCTTGGCCCTCCTAGTTTGATGCAGTTAAGTCTCCAATTCAGAACACCAGATTGAGAGAACAAAGAACATGATAGCTTCTGTTATCTCCCTAAAATTGTTGTTCTCCTATAAAGCTATGAGAGAATTTTATAGGTGCTCCTATACAGTTGAACCCTCCTTTTCAGTGCCTCCAACATGAATCTTTTTTTTTTTTTTAAACTTGAGATCTTTAGGCAATTATTCCAAGCAGGCTCCAACACCTTAACATGCCACATAGAAAAGATAAGAGCAATATCCTGCTATTTGTTTATTCCAGCATATACTTTAGAAATAATAAGGGACATCTTGTACTTTAAATTCTTTCCGAGCTTGCCCTTGCTTCTGCCAACACACAGCTAGTGACAGCTCTCTTCCTGTCTGGTAGCAGTGGTAGCTGGAAATGGTGAACTGAAGACTAAAACTAGATGTATGCAATGAGTTCAAAACAGAAAGAGCTAACTACTGGTAACTTAGACAGTCTGACTGAGCCTGTCCAAAAGCACAGGGCTTCACTGTTCTTCCTCAATATGCCTATTCATGTTTGATTTCAATCAAAAGCATTCAACTTAACTATCCACTCTCCCCTACCACCTGCATTCCAAAATGAGATTTGCTACTCTCTGCTGCATGGTTTTGTGCATTGCATTGGTTTGCACTGCTCTAGAACTGAAAATACTGAAGTTTTAGTAAATGCACACCACTTAAGTAGCTAAAGGACAGTCTGCCCCCAGCTGGTGATACACAAGGACTCACTTTTGTTACATTTAAAATACTAAGACCCAATTTAATTGATCCCTTTGCAGACTAACACTATGCATAAGCTACAGTGCTGTAGGTAAATGGTCTACCTGAAGATTTTTCACCACCCTCCATACATTGAATACACATACCACTGATCACACAGAAAATACTTTCACATTTCAAACTAAGTTACAGCATACCTTGTGTTTTATTAGCACAAGAGCATAATTACCTGTATAAGCTATTCGTTGTCAGCTGTGTTAGCTGCCACCTTCTCAAAGAACTAGCTGACAGAGGGACACACTTGTTTTAATTACTGCATTTAAAGTTTACCTAAGCAACAGAGGAGGGTGTCCATTTACAACCCAAGCACTCTGCAGTGTATTAAAATAAATTCATAAACCCTCTTGCCTTAAGGTAAGGGTGAAAGATCTTACCATATTTGTCAAGATGTACATTGGATTTCAAGGTTCATCTGGTCTGTCTAGTTTCTAAAGTGTGCCTGTAGTTTCCACCCTTTTGTGACCAACACAGTAAACTGAAATATTGAAAGAAGAAACACTATAGGAAATTAAGATCAGATTGTAGCTGAGTCAGAGCAATATGCTCTGTCAGATAACAGCTATCTGTGTCTGTACCTGCACAGAATTCTATCTAGTATGTATTAGAAACTATCTCCGTAACAGAAGAACCACTTAATAGGCAGCCTGGTATGAAGATTACCATCTTCAGTATACGAGAGAGCTTGGTATCTGCATACCTCTGTTTTTAATCACTTCATTCTTTACATATCAGCAAAGAACGATAAAATTCTGGAGAACAAAGTTTTGTACAAACCTGAGCACAGCACATCCACCTTCTAAAAATGCTCCAAGGAGAACACCTGAGCTGCAACAGCACATTTCAGATACTGAATTATTCTAACAGTGTCTATGCCAAACACGAGTTACAACAGTCATGAAAAACAAATCAAACTAAAGAAGTAATCTCATTACATACCAATAAAGGACAGTTATGAAAGAACTGAAGAAACAGGCCATTACCTTGTTTATAACCACTTAAATTTTATTTTACAGTATATTTGTGACCTTTTATGTTACTATAACCAAAGATCAGGGTTGTTTACAAATATAATGGCTGCCATTTGATGTAAACAATTAAAAAGTGTCTCTAAATATTAAAATTTTACATCATGATTTTGTTTTATTAAATTGAATTACTCTTTGTGCCATCAGGTATTAGTGGAGAGGAACTAATTTAAGCAAAAATAGTTTTCAGAAGTTAGATGTAGAAACTGAGAAGCCTGAATAAGATTTCAAAAGAGCACTCCCCCCCATCACTGTAAAAACGAAGAAAGCAAATTCTTTCACTGAAGTTGCAACGATGAGTCAGCCAAGTCCATTTTTATTAAGGCTTCTTTACATATTATTGAATCCCATCATGCCTTTCATATTCCCAGCAGCACCTTGTTGAAATTGTCTCATCATTGACTGCAATCCTGCCATGCCACCTGCAGATAAGAAATGAGAGCATGGATGTGTTCATTAACTCTGAAGCACAGCTTTTCTTCCTTCTGAGGCCTCGTTACAGCATACACTATTCCAATAACATACAAATGCAAAAGCCCGAGACTATCAAGCCAGGTTTAAATGGCTATCGAAAATGGACAACTGAGTGAGTAACCACAGAAAGGTCTGCAAAACACCAGGCTTAAAGTAGGTTTTAAGATGACCTGTGCGTTAAGATCTAGACAAAAGACAAAGCTTTAAGGGATTGACCATTATCAATTAGATAGGTTGCAGTATGGGAACCTTTACTTAAAGCTGCTCTTGTCAAATTTAGTTATTTGAGGCAAAGCTTAGAAGAGAAGGGAAATTTAGGAATAGATTTGCTTTACCACAGTCATGCCTCAAGTCATCACTTCACTATTTCATCAGACACCCCTCCAATTGCTCATTTCAGGAGCTGAATCCAAGTGAAGAGACTAGATTAAGCACTAGTAAGTGCAAGGCATTCATAACATATGGACTAAACTTTCCGATTCTTGTTAGGAAACCTAGAAATACTTAATACTGATACATAATGCACTCATTCTTACATCACCTTCCTCACTTCTATATTTCAAATGCTCCACTGTAACTGGTAGTCCCCTCGTGAAGCTGTAAAACAACACATACCCATATGATGAAGAACTCTTGGATCCATCATCTTTGCCATCTGTTGGTTCAGTTTGGCCAGCTGAGATGGGTTTACATTCTTTGACATATCACCGCCTAAAAAAATTGAAAGAAACAATTGTAAGAAAGTGGATTAATATATGGAGCTAAAAATAAGATAAATCAGAATTTTACCTCCTAATTCTAGATTCAAATCCATTCGAGTCCATGATCAAAAGTTACCACAATAGCCACTTAAAAGTATTTAAGGATCAACAGTCCCTGCACCCCATGTAACGGACTGAAGTGTCAGTATTGTAGACTTCATTACGACATTGATAAAGCCAAAAATACAGTAGTTTTCACTGCTAAGTTACACAATCATGAAGAACAGTGCAGGTCTTACCAGTTACATAAAAGAGCTTTCAAACATCATAAAAATGAGTGAACTACCAACTGACTTTCTCTTCTCCCAATACCTAACCTGCATTTTTACATTTCCCCTGCGTTCACACATCAAGTGACCTCCCCACTGAGTTAGTTTATGTTTTACTTTTTTTACCTTTGAAAAGCCCTTTGATGCCTCCCATCTTTTTCACCATCTGTGCAAACTTAGTGTATTGGGTCAAAAGCTCCTGAACATCTCTGGTAGAAACACCTGAACCTCTTGCTACTCTTTGTATTCTTCCTGGCTGCTTGCTGAAAACTTTGGCACCATCTGTACTGTCAAGTTCTGCAATTACAGTGTGGGAAAAAAAAATAATCCATACAGTTACTGACACTAAAATCTGTTACAGCTGGTAGCAAACTTGTTCTCCTTATTGTTGAGAATTTAGTTTTGAGCCAGAGAACAAAAAAAATAGTTTTACAAGTGACAATGCAGAATTTCACATAAATAATTGAGATGTAATATTCCAGGAAGTAGTACTAAAAAGCTGTTATGTTCATATGTTAATTACCATGACAGAAAAAAATTGCCTGAATAAATTATGCTGTCAGCATACTTGGTCTTAAGCCATATTAATGGGTTTAGTACAAGGCTAAGAGCATACTTCTCCCGCAACACTTATGGGTGGATTAGAAACCACACACCTTGAATTCCAGAGACCAGGCTATGTCACCAAGTAAATTCAAGGGTGATTAGGAAAACAGGCAGCAGTGACAGATTAAAGATGAATATAACTTTTTCATTTGCAAGTATAGTGTTAATAATTTAAGAAGCACAGTTACGGTGTGGAAAAAAAACATGAATTTCCAACAGAACGCTTCAAAAGCCCACCTATTCTACAAAAGCTAGAGAAGCAACAGGCAATTATCAAGGTATCTCTCTAAATACTTAAGACTTATTCAGAAAGTTTGAGACACATGTACTCTTTGTCACTTCTAAGAGTGATAAATGCTGCTCCTCATTTTCTGTCATTAGATGCTGTCCAACTAGTTTCCAAAAAGATCTCTAAATAATCTTGTTCAACAATGGGGGAAAGAAACTGGGTGAAGTTTGTTTTACCTTGGTCATTCATACTGTCCATTATAGTCATCAGTTTCTTTAGCCTTGCCATTGATTCCTGTTCATTGCCTTTACTCATGAAGTCAGTTCCAAAACCAGGGATCATACCCTTGTTTTAAAAATAGAAAACAAGCTGTATCAGAATAGGTAAAGCTAACTTTAATTAAGCAGCCAGAAATATGGACAGCAAGTTTTAGTTCAGCATTCACGTATCACAGTAGGCACATCATTTCACCTTTTTGAAAAAACAAAGCACAGACTCTAGCACCTGTTTCAATGAAGAGTTCTGAGTTTACAGCAGAAGTTTGTCAAATATAAATGAAAATCTGATAAAATAAAATTATTTTGGAGATAACTAACCAAGATCTGACTGAATGGTCCCATTTTCATGATGTTTTGGAATTGTTCATACATATCTCTTAACGTAAATTGACCTGAAGTACAACAACAACAAAAAAAAAATTAGCAAAAGTCACACCAGCATTTTGGTCTTACTGTCCTTTCTCAATTATTTTTCTTTATATTTACAAGGTAAATACTATACTGCATAGGTAAGTAGATAAGCAAACCTCTTCTCCGCTATTAACACAGCTAAACCATTTTAGATGGCACAAACTTAAGAGTTAAGCTAGTTGTTCTGCAGTTACAGACAGTTACACAGTCTGACAGACTTATCACTTGTAAAACATAACTCAATTTACTTGCCTGCCACATTTATAAGAATAACCATTCTTCACACGAAACAAATTACTTGTCTCTACATACAATGCAAGTTAACCCAGTAGTCTACCTCCCTGAGGGAACCCGTCATGGTAATACACCAGCTATTCAGGACTTGGGAATAACTTACCATGTTTGAGCTTTTCTATGAGTGCTTCATTATCATCCAACTTTAACTCGTTTACTTTATCTATCAATCCTTCAATATCACCCATACCTGGGGAAAAACAAAGCTCCAAAGTTGGCATTAAAAAAATAATTACACTTTGACTTTCTATTATCCAATTCAAAGTGTCTTTTAAGTACAGTTGTATGCAGTACATACCAAGAAGTTTGCTGATGAAAGGTTGTGTTTTAAAGGGTTCGAAGTCATCTATGTGTTCACCAGTTCCAATAAAAATAATAGGACTCTTTGTGGCAGCAACTCTGCAGTAGAATACATTTTATGAGATAGCCTCTCAGAAACTACCTATCTTTTGTACCACCTGTTAACATAATCAGCTAGGCATCATCAACACAATGCATCCTTTCTGAGGATCCTCAAGCTATTAATGCAAAAACATCCAGCATTTGGGATGGGTAGCTGGAAGTAGCTGACAAGATGTTTCTCTAATTAGTATTTTGTAAAATACAAACTCTGCTTTGAAGAATCATCAACATAAATAGACATTGCTTGTTTTCATTGCTGAGTTTAAGAGACTTGACATGAAAGGAAGAAAAATAAATCATCTCCATTTTATCCTAATATTTGGAGGTCAGGTGAGACAAGCATTCATTACTTTCTCTTCAAGGTACCTCCTACAACAGACAGCAACTTTCAACACAGAAAAAAAGCTTAGACATAAGAAAAATCAGAACCTTTTCACCAATCACTGGCACTAGCTTTTAGATGAATTTCCAGTCTACAGAAGGTACAGAACCAACACAGCAGACTTAATGCGTATAAGCACATGACAACTGGAACATGCTTTCAGTATTGTCATTTTGCTCTTTAGATTTCCATCACTACACTATAAATAACAGCAAAATACATATGGCAGTTTAAGAACCCTTAACACTTAAGATCAAAGCCAGACAGTGATTAACTAAATTGGTGTCAGTCCTAACTTTGACTGTTTTGACAAATCATCTCAGCTCCATACAAGCTATATCATTGAAACGCAGCTGAAGATTAGTCTGACATGCCATCATATAAGGCTGAAGATAAAATTAACATTTTCTAGTGAAGAGTCTGTCAAGATACAGTGCACAGGAAGTCCAATAAGAATGGAATTTGGACAAGTATGACTGCAGACTTATTTTTTACCAAATTGTTAGATACTGGCAATCCAGAAGTTTGATTTTCATCACAGTTTTAAGGCCAATAGATATGACTAGCTAGTTTTTCTCCTTTTGGAAAAAATCTTGGGCATTAAATGAAAAGCAATAGATAGGGCTTACCTGGAAGTTTTAAGTCCAAATTTGTACTTTTGGTAAAAACTCCTGCTGTGCAAGATGCAATAAATATAATGGCTTGATGCTATTCTCAGAAGTCTGACATGTGACAATAAACACTACTGTATTGGAAGTACCTCATAATATCTGATTCTGACTGACATTAAATATCAATGGGTGATCTTATGCACCAGAAGTAAGGTAAGAACATAACTGTTACTGACTTAAGTCTCAGATTCCGTGCAGTGTGACACTGACACTTTCACAGGACAGGTTTCAGAGACAAACATATTTCACTGTTGTCCACACATGGCTAGATGTGGGACACTATTCTATGACAATACTTACGCACTAAGAGCTCCACCTCCTTTTGCATGTCCATCAAGCTTAGTGACAATAACAGAGGCTACATCTACTTTATCTTTGAAAGCTTTAGCTTGAGCTTCACAAGCTTGGCCAATAGAAGCATCCATCACATAAACAATGTTATCTGGTTGCTAGGAGAAAAGAGACAAAATAATTATTTCCTGCTTTCTTAAACAGCATTTGTGCATTATGTTCAGTAGAACTTACTACAGTAACAGTAAGTATGTAAAGGCTGTGCAGTTTAAAACAAAAGGGCAACAACTGTTTTATGAACAGTATTGTCTAAGGACCATTTGAAAACTCTGATGCTGTATTACTACGCGAAATACTTGTCTACAACACAGACTATTAAAATTTAATGAGTTTCCAGTTATTACTTATGTTTTGAGTGATTTTAGCCAGTATCTGAGTCAATAAACTAATTAGTATCTACAAGCAATGGCTAACAATATCTTCCATTTGTTTTTACATTAAGAGCTTTAAGACATTCATTCCTCTGAAAGTAAGTTAGCCCTCCGCAGTTACGTGGGAAGTGTCATGTTGTCATGCAAGACCACAAAAATCAAAAAATTAGCCAGACTTTTTAAACTTATACAGGAAACACCAGCTTCATTTACACATCACAACTGTTGAAAGTTATCCAATCATCTTCTCCATTTCAGGGCAATTACTGGCAACAATCACAGAAAAAGTAGTAGACAAAGCTACAGGAAACCAGATCAGACTCGTTCTTTTGTCTAGTTTCTCAGTGCAAAGATCCTGAAAAGGAAGATTTAAAAGCAGGAACAGTAGTCTAGTTAGTGTGCAAGCACCCTTGAATTACAGATACAAGAATTAAAACTGACACAGAACTATCAAGCACTGATCATTCAGCCCTTGTTTATTCATATCCATTTGTAATTTCTACTATATCCCAGGAGTTAATGTGCTGATGCATTCCAGAGGAACAAAATCCACACAGAACACTAGGAGATAAACATAAATGAATTGTAGTCAAATTACTATAACAGAAGTGATTGTATTTTTTGAAACTACTCACTATGGCATTAGCAACTTGTAACATTTCTTCAAACAAAGAGTCTTCCTGTTTGTGACGCCCACTTGTATCAACAATGATTATTTCAAAGTTTTCATTCTTAAATTTCTCAACACCTTCTGAGGCAATAATTACAGGATCCATTTCTGTATAACTGATCACAAAGAGAAACATATATATATCTGCAATTCTTTGTTCCCAAAGAAACTAATTCAAACTTTCATTACTTGACTGTAAACTTGTTAATTGTAAGTCTACCTGGATTTCAAGAGGGACTTCCTCTTAACGTCAAGCAAAAATTGACTACAAACATGCCTTCCTAAGCCATTTGCCATTGCTATTCAGTGAACTGAGGCACAAAGGACTGTTCATCTCACCTGAAGACTGCACTAAGTTCTACTAGCCTTTCTCTGAAATGAGATTTAACTGAGCACCTAGACAGTACACCTCCAGTGAAGCTTAGGGGAAAGTTATTTACTACTTTTACAAAGCTATTTACATCCACTGCTGCCCCTACTTGATAAAAATTAAGGGTCCAAAAGTCATATCCTTTCATCTGTAAAGATACTTCCTGAAAAGCTGGATGTGTCTGGTAAAGGCCTATAAACTGTCATACACCGAGAAAACACTCAGGAATTATCCCCTGATCACTTCTTACACTATCCCTACCTGCTACTACTAGCAGACAATATACTGAAGTAAGCACAATTTTCATCTGATCAAAGCAAATACTATAATAAAATCTAAGTAATTAGGCAACACTGAGTGGGGCTTAGTGCGAGATGTTCAATAAGGAACAATAGATTCTTGAAGTTGAATCATGCTCAAACTGATTCTGAAAGACGCTTACCTCCCATAAAAGGGAATTCTTGCTTTTGTGGCGTTCTGCTTTAACTGGTCAAAAGCACCTGTAAGACAGATATAGTCAGGGGACTATTTAAAAAAATCTGGAATTATTAGAGATAAAGAACCATATTATTAAAGACTATTACCTGCTCTGTATGTGTCTGCACATATTAAACATGTCTTCCAACCTTTCCTCTGATAGAAGTATGCTAACTGTGAAAAGAAATCCAAAATAACTAGTTACACCAAAATCCCACTAGAAGGCATGACAGTGTATAACAGCTTATAAATCACTGAAGCACATTCAGAGGACAAAAAGCCAAGCCAGCCTTCCTAAAACTGAGACCACTTAGTGACACTGTGGAAGTATCAAATGTTAGCATCTCTGTTATTTAGAAAAGTGTGTTATGTTATTAATGGTGAGACAAAAACAGCTGCTTGATTCTGCTTCCGATTTCCATTTCCTGAGCTAGGAATGACTACAAATAATTCCAGTTCCCATTTTACTAATTCCTGAATTCTGCTTACTGTTAATACTGCAGATAAGACTAGCTTTTAGAAACTACCCAAAGCAGTAATGACTTCAGTATCAAGTAGTGCCATGGCTATAACTCATACAGCTCTTTGTTTCTGTACTTCTAGAGGAACAAAAATATTTCCATTGCAAGAACTTCCACAGGAACAAAGAGATGTCCATTGCAAGGATGTTTTTAAAGCAACAGACGGAATCCTTACTTTCTTGTAACGCTTAGCTTCACTGGTACAATGTACATTCACAGAACATTTGATTGACCAGAGAAACTTCCAAAAAATATAGTTTGCCTACAGAAGCACTAGGAAAGTCTTACAAAATCAGAGCAGTGATATATTCAGTATAGCCTATGTGTGACTCTCAGAAGCAGATGACTAAAAAAAAAACCAAAGATGCATCAATCTTTCCACAGCACAATTTTTCTTCCCAAGAACCATCATGAATAGGTTAAGTGTTGGTTCAGAGCATTCTTTTTTAGCCTTAAAAATACAAATCCAAATTTTCTCAATGAATTTGAGACTAGAACATGTTTCACACCACCCACTCATACTTCATTGAGATATCCAACACGGGCCAAATGCCACTGGCTCCCCTAAATAGGTAATGGAATGAGATAGGTTCCATTCATAGTAGGGCCAGCTGTGACAGGACAAGGGGTAATGGTTTTAAACTAAACCAGGGTAGGTTTAGACTAGATATAAGGAAGAAATTCTTTACAATGAGGGTGGTGAAACACTGGAACGGGTTGCCCAGAGAGGTAGTGGAGGCCCCATCCCTGGACACTGGAACGGGTTGCCCAGAGAGGTAGTGGAGGCCCCATCACTGGAAACATTCACAGCCAGGTTGGACGGGGCTCTGAGCAACCTGATCTAGTTAGCGGTGTCCCTGCTCCTGCGGGGGGGTTGGACTAGATGACCTCTAGGGGTCCCTTCCAACCCAAAACATTCTATGATTCTATGAAAACAAGGAATAGAAAGAATCTTTGGTATTCATACATAGTATAGTTTCATCAAGAGTTTAGTTTAAAAAAAAATCTTGAAGGAAGTCCTACAAGCCAAAAGAATAGGACATTCATCTCATCTCAGAAACCACTCCACAAAAAATATCTCTATATTGCAATCAGTTAGTACTTTCCTACTACTAGAGACAGCACAGATCACAAGCAAATCCTACCAAAGGAATTCAGTGACCACCCCCCAAGAAAAAACCCACACAAACAGATCCAGGGCAAGTTACCTTTGAACAGGTTGTTGTTTTACCACTTCCTTGCAAACCAACAAACATTATAATATTCTGTTTTCCTTTGGTGGGTGTCCATGCTTTGACTCCAGGATCTACAAGCTACAGAACAACGCACAATATATGTTGCAGAACTGAATTTCAGAAGCACAGAGTCAGTGTCACAGTCATGCTAGCTACCTGGCCTTATATTCAATGGGGCAAGCCAATTTTTGCATATTCTAGCTTAACTTGGCTTAGACACTTGCTGATTTACAGTGAACAACAGCCCATACAAGATCTCTATACTGTATATAGCATTACACATAATAACTAACAGTAACAGCATTCATTTCTTTCCAATACCAAGCACCAAAGTCAGGGTGGCCTGTATATACAGCACAAGTTTAACAACCTACACAGAAACATAACCTCCACCCCGCCATCACTGCTCAAGGATGGACCTCTTCTGGTGAGAACCCTACAGTACAGAAGACTTTTTGAATGAGCAGAAGGTACATACATTCTAAAGAGCCATCATATGGGTAGGCACAGACTACAGAAGAACAAAAGACTATACTGTTAACCAGCAAGAGGACAGAATACAGATACCCAGGTGCTGGTTTGCCCAAGCAGGCAGGTTAAACAGAAAAGTTGCCATGAATTGCTGGGTTGTTACTTAACACTTTTTCAAAGGCTTACAAGTAGTTTGAACAAATCTCATTTGGGTAGCAAAATCTGTTTCTGGGACAACCAAAGACAGTCCAGAAGCTGATAGTACTTTACCCTTATTTTGTCTATAAATTTCAATGGAAGAGTAAGAACAGATGGACTTGAAGCTTAAATTGAGATGCCCAGGAAGTAGCTTCACTCGGAAGAATACTAGCATTTGCAGTAAATAGCCCTACAACAGAAACGTAACTGCAGGTACCAGAAAATAACTTTAAAGCTTGGCTTGCTATTGTACTGCTTCCACAGTCCAGGCTGTACAAGAAAAGTGATGTAATACAAAATTTTGAAGTCCTACCTTAACAAGTTCCTTGAAGACAGCATGCTGAATCATTTTTCTTTTGTTAAGGCCAGACGCCATTTCTTCAAGGTCAATTGCAGACCTGAGTTTAGGAAACCATGAAACACTAGTATAACTTAAAGCATCACTTTAACATCGTAATAAACGAAGTCTCTGCAACTGGAACAGCACTCTGATTTGCCTTAAGTTTTCAGACAGGACATATTTAAGAAGAGACATGCATTGGAGATATTACTTCTGTATGCAGGACAAAACCAGGTTTCTGATATACTTGCATCTTTCAGACTTGCATGTACTTGAATTACACATCTGAAAATAGCCAAGGTAAGAGTACTGGTCATATACACAGATCTATTTATATCCAGCACAGAACGTGTGAAGATGAGGTGTCTAGGAAGTAACAAAGAACTTGTTTATCATACCACTCAACTGATGACAGCAACAGTTTTTTGGAACAAGTCTACAACAGCAGTAACTTGCTAAACTTGACAAAGATTCTTTAGATGGAATTGGCTAGACATTTAGTTCAAACTGTATTTTCCTGTTAAAGGTAAACTGTGTACGTCTAAGAAAACCATATAAAGATGGAAGTTAGTTATTCTGTGACCTCAAATCACAACTTCTGCAAACATTAGAAGTTAAACGCATTTTGATTATTTCACTTACTTGACATTTTCTCTGAGTTGCTTCACAAGTTTAATATTAACATCAGCTTCCAGTAATGCCGTACATACTTCTTTTAACATAGCATTTAAAACCTTTGGAGTATAAAGGAAAAATGGTTTTATAATACACCATATTGACAAGGCCAGTATTACTTAAAATATGAATGTGGAAGTGTATTTATGATATAACCAAGGCTTTTACAAATTAAATGCATGCAGTCCTATCATTACATTGACTGCCACATTAAAGAAGTCTATGCATTTGTTCCTATGTAAATACATTTTAAATTTGAAAAGGTAATACTGGAAAAGAAGGGTCTGCAACTTGTAATACACACACTGTAACAAAGTAACAGACAACACTTCCTATTGCACTAGGGGCCATGGCAGCTCAAACCATAGCAAGACTTCCTAAACTTCCCAGCGGGTACTCCTCAGCTGCAGCAGAAAGCCACAGAAAAACCTCTTAATGCAACACAGTCTCTGTAAATAAAAGTAGTCCTTAAATGCAAAATGGATGCACAGCTATCTGCATTGTCAGCAGAAACTAGGCTGCTGCTCTGAGGTATGCCCTTCAGGCAAACAGGTGCCTCAGTCAGGAACCCAGCTTAGCAGTTCTAAGACTTTTGAGAGTGAAAAGTCTTGAACAAAAAGAATTCTTGAAAGTAACACCTGCACAAATGACCTCATTTACACAGCTTGAGGTCTTGCAGGAGAAAAGTTTTACTACTGAAATAAATTAATTGGGCTGTATTTGATTCAGTTAAGGACTTGTCTCCCAGCTGACGATCTGTTAAAACCTTTCCTCTATGCACAAGTTCCAACCCTTGATAAACCTACTTTTTAGTTACTTTAAGCCGCCTGCCTGCCTACCTGAGAAGAGTTTCTAGCAATTTATTTACTCAGAGGCACTTCTAAACCACCACATCAGTTAGTTTTCCATCTTACTTTTCAATCCACATAACAGAAAATATTTGTAATTTCACATTCTTAATTAAAAAATGTCAGAGTATGCCAAGGCAAACAGCTTCCAGAACGACACACTGTATTGGCTTGAATATACAAGCAGCAAACATAACATAATCCTCACATTTCACACAGCAAAGTTTACATTGAAAGCTATTTGTTCTTCCACACTTCAGCTTCTAGCAGCCTAGTACACATCTCCATAGTCTGGCTGCACACACACACAGAGCACCCTATGTTATCTCACAGCTTACCTTCCACCCAAACTTAGGCACGTATTGCCTCCTCCGGTGTTCACCTCCCCAGAACACTGATCTCTAAGTACAGCCACCACCAGGCTCAAGGACCATGGGACCCACTATGCCTGAAGTGATTATACATGTCTAAATCTGGTTCTAAATTTTGGCAGTACTATCAGGGAGTTAAAACCTCTAGCTAGAAATTTTACTTGAAGGAAGAAAAGAGCTTCGAGATAACATCAACCTACACCAGCCTTTGAGAACTTCTCAGAACTTTGCATTCCAAACATTAGTGCCATCACATAGGCATACTACATACCTCTTCATTGATAATTGTAGCATTGCTCAGTGAGCGTAATGCTGAAGTTATTTTTCTTCCAAGATCTGCTAGAACCATTTTGGCGGCTTCAAGTACAACTCAGAAGAATCTGGAAAACAATTAAAAATTAAGTTCAAAACTAGCTGAAGCTATGCCTTCGCGAACCAATTATTCCAGTATCTTTTGGGTTAAGAAACCTGCTTTGCATTCCAGAAAGCACACAAGTTTTACTTTTTTTAGAGTTATTTTTAGCAAACATTAGCCTGAAGTTAATTTTAGGCTATCCTGATGGCCTACTTAATAATAGAGATACCACAGTGTGATCAGGAAGCATTTCAATGTCTGGAATATTTGTGCATTCAATTCACCATGAAAAAACAGTCCATACAGACATCCAAAAGGAATGCTAACTGCTTTTGACCTTCTTATCAGCAACACGCAGAATAAAATAAAGCAGAATAGCCTAGAAGCTCTGCATCTTGCAAAGACAGTATGATCAGGAGCAAAATATTTTGCTAGCAAAACTGAACATTATTAATCTGTTCCATTTCATCTACGTTACACTAAATAAAATAATTTCACATTTTGGTAACCCTACAAGCATACTTCCATTTTATTAATTAAAATTCACATTGTATTTTTTAACATTTTTATTGGAAAACCAGACTATTTTTGTTCACTACAGGCACAAATCTTGCATATAAGGCTAAAGCATACTGCAACTTTAGTTAGGAAACCATAAAAACTAAATTTCTGGAGGGTATGTATAATCTAGTCAACATGCTAAACCATTCCACCTCCCATACAAGGTGGCAAGATATTCAGGAGAACACACGGCCAAAACAGCAACCTAAAATTCTGAAAAAAGGCAAACCAGAATTTGTCTTAACAGCAAAAAAAGTTGCAACATGATAGTCACTGCTGAAATAGACCACTGCAGATTCTTCTTGTTTATCTTCCAGTTTCATGGTTGTTTTCTTGTACCCAACTGAAACTACTCCTTTGCTGGTAGCTGAATTCAGAATCTCACATTTGAGTTCCTCCTTTCAGATCTGAAAGCAAACTTTCCAATAATGACAGTCTCCGTAATCAAAGTAGCTGATAGTGTTCAAGATTTTCTGGACTGCCCCCCACTCTCAAATGGGTAGAGAAGAAAACAGACAAGAAAGGCTGGTCCACATAGTAAGATGAAGTATCTCCAAGTACGGAAAGTTAATTATGTCCTAATAAACAAATGTTTCCACTGCAGAACTCCAAAAGCTTCTTGCAACAGCCTTACAACAGAATAATGCAAATACTGTGCTAAGGGATGAGTTTAAGAATTTTAGTATCAGCTGCTTTCTCTAGCATGTTCAAGATTTATAAGCCATCAGAATTGCTAAGGAATGGCACATAGAGAACTTAATGCATCTTTTCACAAAGAGTCCATCCAAGTTGTGAACAACACTACAGACAAAAAGACACATAAGCTGTCTTAGCAGGTAGCCCACTTGGGTTGGCAGGTAGCCAGAAGGACATTAGCAGTGACCACACTGCAGAATGCGTATATGCTGCGTTCAGAGCATTTGTAGTTGTGGAAGAGCTTTTTAGCTTTGCTGCAGCACTCTGCAAATGCACTGAACAGGCTTAAATCTGGCAGGGCCCCAGAGTAAACAAGCCAGGCTGTATCAAGCAGGCCTCGTGCTCAGCAAGGCCAGGAGCTCTACAGAGCCTGAGCTGCCTTCAGGAGAAGCAGCCTGGGCACCTCTGCGCTGAGCTTCCAGGTCATCATTCTACTGCACAGGCTCCCAATCCCGCTTCACTTGCCGCTGAAAGGCAGGCACTTCAGGAATAAAGGAGCAGCAGAGGCAGTGGGGTTTTTTTTAAACTGTAGCAAAGCAGCAGTGAAACAACTCTGAAAAGCCAGACCGCCTGTCCCTGCCTAGCCATCTAGTATAAATTGATAACCAAAATGTGTCCAGCTAAACTAGTAGTACTCTAACATGCAGAATTTTTAAAAGGTAACAGCTTTAACAGGTAACAGCTGTTTGAATGGCTGTTTTAAAAGAGAACAGTTGTTTAAAAGATAATAAACAAAAGGAATGCTTACTTAAAGTCTATACAATAGTTATACTAAATACATACATACACGGGTTAAGATCCGCTGAAAGTTTAATACTACACCTGGAAAAAAGGCTGAATCACAGGTGGAAATAGCTTGAGCTACTGCAGAGACACCTAACCCCAACTTACTAGTTTCCACCTTCTAACATCATCGGGCAAGAAGGCCCCCCAGAGCCGCAGCAGAGGCCGGCTACCCTGCTTATGGCCTTTTCGTGGGGTGCAGGCACAGCCTCGGATGCGTACCCGG